ACGCTGAGAGACCAACCAGGAACGACGAGATCAGAACAACATTTAATGTACAAGGTATAAATGAATGGACACTAAATAAAGCGAAAAAAAGAATGGTACAATGACATCGAATATAGGGAATAGAAGTATCGGCTGACTGTACAAGAAATGGGAATGACAATATTCCATATAGGCAACAACCCATCAAATTTTCCCTTTATAAATTATTATAAAAACAGTGGTTTACTGTTATAATAAAATACTTTGATTTGATCAAGATACATCTAGTCTCTGCAGGAGATAATTTGTTGCCTATGATGACAATTTTGTTTTAATCTCAACCAATTGTTGAGAAATGCTTATTTAGGAGACCTCAAGGCGTTGATTCAGTATACGTTTGGTTTTATGAGGTTTGCAAAATTCAAACCAATATTTATGAAAACGAAAAATCAACTAAACTGAATTAAAATTTTTGTTTTTACAACAGCCTGCTTGAGCTTTTTTTTTAAGATCTTCATGTTTTTTGTTAGTATTAAATTTATTTGTAAAATTATCATCTAGGTTTATTAGAACTCTGTTAGTCACTTATAATACAAAGAGAAACTAAAGAAACATGTGCGCTAACCAGTCTGAATAGCAAATAAATAGTAACTCATACTTAGCAGTTACTAAAACCTCGCAAAAGTCAGACAAAATGATCCCTTCCAATAGATTAGAAGAATCTGGTATACGGATAAAACATTTTTGCTATATTTTTAGTGGAAATACATTTTCCACTGCAGACAGGATACACTTGAAGGCCCTATTCTTCTACTTCCAGCCTTCATATCAAATATTCATAAAAAAGGTGAGAAGAAAGTGCTGCAATCATAGGAGAAGTGTAACAAACTCTGTTTCTAGACATTATGGCATGATTATAAAAGGAAGAGTGGAGAACCAAGTTAAGGAGCAAAGTGGATTCTGTGCAGGAAGGTCTTATACTGACAAGCTGTTTTGACCAAAACAGCTTTTAGAAAAAGGAACAGCCAGAAACTTGGAAACACACATAATATTCTTAGATCTAAAAACGCCTATGATAGCATCATCATCATCCAGCACCATTTTCACATCCATTGTTGGATATAGGCCTCCTCCAAACGTCTCCAGTTCTCTCTATCTCTAGCTGCTGCAATCCAGTTTGTTTCTATTCTCCTTAGGTCGTCGGTCCATCGGGTGGGTGGTCTGCCTCGACTTAGCTTGTCGGCTCTTGGTCTCCACTTCAATAATCTCTTCGTCCATCTTCCGTCTTCCATTCTAGCAACATGTCCAGCCCACCTCCACTTTTGTTTATTGATTCGCAGTATAATATCGTCTACGCCAGTTCGCCGGCGTATTTCCTCATTTCTCACGCGATCTTTCAAGGTGAGGCCCCACATTGATCTCTCCATTCGCTTTTGTGTTACCCTCAGTTTTTCGACAGTAGCGTTCGTTAAAGTTAGGGTCTCTGCTCCGTATGCAGAATTAAAAGAGTGTCGCCACGGTCGTTCCGTCCCTGACTTCTAAAATTTTCAAGAGCAGTTTCTGCTGGATCCAGTTTTGTTCCTATTTTGGCGTTAAAGTCTCCACATATAACTGTGAAATGTGTACGGTTGTTTGTGATGGCTGTGCGTAAATTATCATAAAAGACTTTGATCTTCTCGTCTGTACATTCTGTTGTTGGAGCATAGACTTGGATAACTTTTAGATTATATCTAGTATTTATTTTGAACGTGGCATATCTAACTCTAGTGGATACTGATTGGACAGTTTTTAGATTTCCTGCTAGCTGTTTGTTTATGAAGAATCCGACGCCTCCTACTGACTCATGTTGTTCTCCGTGATAGTAAAACAAGTGACCGGATTTTAGGGTCTCGAGGCCTTCACCTCGCCTTCTCACTTCATTAACTCCGACGATCCCTGATCTTTTCTAATTCTTTTTACATTCCTTTAAAGCTTTCATCAGAAAGTAGAGTTCTAGTATTCATGGTTGCAATTTTGAAAACTGTTTGTTTTTTAAAGCATACTCTTGTCAAATTTGTCTTTGTCTGACAGACTGATAAATTAGTGTGAGAGTGTCTACTCACCTGGGGTAGCTTCCGTTTTGTTTTAAAATCTGACATTTGTAAGGGCTTTTGGCTAAGTTCAATGCCACGCGAGCTACTGCGTGTTAGCAAAGTTTCAGTTTCAGCCGCCCACTCTGGAAACAGACGCTGTTTGCGGCCGCCCACTCTGGGTCAGACGCTGCTGCTGTCGCAGTATCACAGCCAGTAGCAGTATGATAGCATACCTCTCAGTAAATTGTGGATTGAAATGAAGGAGAATGGTGCAAGTGATATATATTAATCACACTGTTAGAAATATGTATATGAATATAACAGTTAGTGTCAATGTCGGGAAAAAGCTTTCTGAATAATTTCACAACTATGATGATGGAGACACATGTGTTAATCTATAGATGACAATAAACTTTTCCCTTTTCTGACAACCTTATTAGCTGAGGATAATGTAATATATATGATCAGAAACTTATATAAAGAATATAAGGCTTGGGGTTTGATGATAAATATGAAAAAAAACCGAATATCTAGTTGTTGGAAAAGCAGATAGAAATAATCTAGTGCTACACAACTGTGAAATTAGGAATGTCAAGTAATACAGGTACCTAGCACAAGGGAATCAGGTGACAAAATAACTAAATTGCGTGCTGCGGAACAGTAATAGAAGGTAAGACACTTTAGATGAAGAATATAAGGCTTGGGGTTTAATGATAAATATGGAAAAGACGAAATATCTAGTTGTTTATTCTCCGCGGATTGAACCGTACGTCCATCTGCTTCGCACATATAATTGTGGTTACCATCATTATTGTGGAATGTCATTTTAAAATAATATGAATCATAATAATATGAAAGTGACTAGAGGAACAATAAATAAATGAAATGAGTGGTGTAAAAAAACAGCTAAGTACTGGTAATAAACTTATTACCAGTAATAAGCAAAATTGCAGAGCGGGTCATAATAGCAAGGCTAAAAGAAGAATCAGAAGAAATCGGAACAATACCTGAGGCCCAGTTCTGATTCAGATCTGAACACTCAAGTGAACTTTAGGTACTGCGTCTAGTAGAAGTTAGAACACATCAATGAAAAGAAATATAGAGCAGCCTCTTTTATAGATGTCAGTAAAGCATTCGACAGAGTCTGGCACAAAGGCCTGCTGTATAAAATGAACCAGTATGGTTATAGTGAGCCAAATTAGAATACAAAAATCAGAATCTACAAACCTATAGTCTAAAACATCACAACTTATGGAGCTGAGGTTTGGCAAATTACAGAATATTTAAAAAAGAAGTTACTGTCAAAAGAAATGGAGTTTTGGAGACATTGTTCTAGGTTAAACTTTAAGACAAAATAAGAAATGACAAGATACAGAAAAGAATAGGATATAGAGACAACAATAATTGAGACCATAGAAGCCAAGAAGTAGCTTCAAGGCAACCACAAGACAATGCAGAAGTCAGAATGGCGACCTATTAACAAGGAAAGTTGTATTGAACAGATGGGTGGAATGCTTTAACCAGGTCCTTAATATAAAGGAAGAAGAAAATGTGGAAGACGAAAGATATGAGGTAAGGGGAACAGACGAGAGGGAAAATTCAACGACGAGGGAAAAGACCAACGATTGTTGGTTGACCAACAAAGTTAAAGATGCAGTTAAAAAACCAGCCAGAAACAAATCACCTGAAATAGATAATCTTCCATCTGAACTATATAAAGAAGGTTGCCATGATACCATAATGGCATTACAGCAGCTTATAAAAGAAATATGGACACAGAAATCCCTCCCCAAATATAAATATAAATCCCCTTCCCATACATAAAAAAGGAGATATCTTTGAATGCTCTAACCACAGAGGAATTACGCTTCTAAATGCAGCATATAAAATATTTTCCACTATACTAAGTCACTGTATGGCACCATAGCAAAACGGATAGCAGGAAAATACCAGGCTTGTTTCATAGGTGGTAAATCTACAATTCATCAGATTACAGCCCTGAAACAAATTTTGGAAGAAACACTGGAATATGACATTGATACTCATCACATATTTATAGACTACAAAGCAGCCTACGACTCTGTGAATAGAAGACAAATGTTGCAAGAGAAATACAAAAATAAAACTCTATATCTGCTCTAAGAATAATATGCCCAGTCCTAAATGGTTTAGAAACCTGGACTCGGAACAAAAAATAATGAAAACATGTTAGGATGTTTCGAAAGAAAAGTACTTAGGGGAATCTATGGAGCAGTGAATGACAACGGAGTGTGGAGGAGACGATACAACTTCGAACTTTATAGAATATACCAGGAACTTGAATCGTAAAACATATTAAGATAGGTCTGAGGTGAATAGGGCATGTAATGCGGATGGAACAAAATGACCCAGGCTAGAAAAACAAGGTTCCTCGATAACATCAATGAAGACATGAGAAATATGAGAATATGTGCTTGGCGGAGAAAGGCGATGAAGATGATGAACCCAAGAAGTTTGAGATGGTGCATGTAAGACATATGAATGGAGACAGGTGGCCATAGAAAATGATGGGAGTGGAAACCAGAGCAAAGAAGAAAAGGATGACTGAGAAAGACATGGCAGGAGAACATCGGACAAGCTGTGACCAAAAGGCATCTACAGGATAATGACTGGTGAGATAGAAAGCAATGGAAGCTAGGATTGGAGAAACAGGTATGATGTAAATATAGTAGTAGTATATATGTTTAGTACAAATTATAAGTTCATTTGTTATTATGTCTTTATCAATTTTAAATTAACACTGTTTGGTAAATTCAAATTTTTTTTAAAATGTGGCATGCTGTGGAAGGTGGGTAATAATGTATATAACACTTTCTTACTACCCATAAATAAAAGGGGGTAGGTAATAATATAAATAATCTTAGTTAAAATCTAATTCTAAATAATACTTTATCCCCACAAAATACTTACTGCTAATTTTTCTCTGAACTCTTCAATTTCGACAATGGACTTCTTGAAGGGATTTGTATTGCTTGATTTGTTAGATGAAATAAACTTGTCCTTATACTCTTCATAAGGCTTTATGTTACTACTCTCTATCCATGCACTTAAAAAAATAGAAATTAAATGTTAAAGGATAACTTGTTAATTTAAACAAAATATATATTAAAGTTAAATTCCACTACTTGAAAGAGTGATTTCATCGTTTAAACGCGAAATATACTCATATTTAAATGTAGACAGCGGCCCTCGAAAACTACCCGTTACATTTTCGTTTTCTCATAAGAAATCACAGAATGTATAATTAGTACATTTATTTGTGCTTCTCTATAGCAGACTTGACCACATTGCCGTACATTGTAGCCGATTTTTTAAACAGTTATGATCATACAAACCTGAATTATTCCATGCAGTTACTATTAACGTCATAAAAATACCAAAAAATTATTTCTTTCAATAGTAAAAATTGAGCATAAAATTGAAATGAAATAAATTTTATTTACATGTTCCGTTTCGTTACCTATTTAAGTTTATAGTTTATTAAATAAAAATCGATATTTTACATTTCATTCCCATTCCTTTTCAAACACTTGACAACTTGGGATTGTTCCAAGAGAAGACAGCAAAATTCTGATGTTGATTTCAAAAACGAAAATAACGTCAGAAGAGAAGGTAGTGGTACGAAATGTATATGAAGGAATTGTCGGCAGAAAAATGGCACCAAATGTTAGCCGAACGGTCGACATTTGTAGCAGTTTAACAAAAGTATCCGTTAGCTGAATTTATCGTAATCTTAAAAATAAATCGGTAAATAAAAAGCAAGAAAAAGGTAAAACTAAAAGTAATAGTAAAGAAAATATATTATTTGGATGAAACCTGGATTAACAAAGGTCATCAGTTGGAAAAGTTTGGTAAGATTTAAATGTCAAAAGTAAACGCGAAGTATTTATAGAAGGCTGGTCTACAGGATTAAAACCACCATCACAAAAGGGACAGCATTTAATAATTACCCATATAGGAAGTGATACAGGGTTCCTTGCTTCAATTTGGGTCAAGAGAAACAGGAGATTATCATGAATAAATGACTTCCAAAGTATTTGAGCAATGGTATAAGAGAATCTTAACAAAATTAGAACCTTGGTCTGTGGTTGTTATGGACAATGCACCATATCAAAGCCGCAGACTAGAACAATTACTGATGATGGCATGGCAGAAAGGGAGAATTCAAGAATGGATTACAGAAAAGGGGATTGCATATGAAATATATATATATATATATATATATATATATATATATATATATATATATATATATATATATATATATATATTCTGTATTTTTAGGCAGAATGTTGGAAATAAGGCACAATATATCTATTTACATGTTTAATTCACTGACATTTGAATCTCTATATCCAGTGACCGTTTTCAAAGTTAGAAAAAAAATAATATAAGATTATATAAATATATATTAATAATAAACAAATAAAATAAATGTAACTATCATTTATATCTTTGAAAAACGATCTTAGGATATAGAGATCAAAATGTCAGTAAAAACCTGTAAACAAATATATTGCTGCCTATTTTGAACAAATAATATTTAAAAAATTTAATATTATTAACATTGAAATAAAAGTGAGTGTATGTTACTGGATTTTTATATGCCTTTCCCCATTTCTCTGCCTTCAAACGATAAAATCACTCTTTCAAATAGTGGAATCTGATTTTAGATATAAATATGAAAAACGATTACAAACCCTTTGCCTGTAATCATGATTGTAGTGTTTGAATAACTTTCGGCAAAAAAATTCAAAATTATTAGATCGATTTATAAATAAATAAATAGATTTTATTGTAAACATTGGAATATATCACTTACACCCTAATTTACAATAAATTGTAAATAATTAATAAAATTAAACTGTTTAAAATATTTCGATATGATGTTATTTACCTACAACTAGAAATATTTATCAAATTACATGCTTTTTAACTAAATAATATATTCCTGTTTTGTCAACAAAAATTATTCTAAAAATATCATAATTTTTTTCCAAAAGTTGTTTCAGTTTACAAGGTTAATTTACCATTAAATTTATTAACTAAACCCCATATTCGTAATATGTGTAAAGAAACATACAAATTTTAAGAAGAAATGTCAAAATCCATGAACAAGAACTACATGTATTTGATAGCTTGAGTTTGAAGTCCATATTTTTTTAAACTTACCAGCGTTTCAAATATGAAAAACAATTTTTCAAATTAGCACAAAAGTACAATGTTTTAACTAGTAATATCTTCCTCTTTTTAAATTCTTTCGTTAACTGTATCTCCCCCTCTTGCTTATGATACCCATACAATCATTGTAAGCTTATTTTTTATGACAGAGGTTTTGGTTATCGAGGTCCATAGGGTATTTTTTTTAAATTATTTCTCTGGACTATTATATTCAAATGTGGATGTATGAATATGATTTCATTAATTAACTTATCCTGCAATATTTTTTCTATTCATTTAAAATACATCTTCCATAATTGAAATAAGTTTGGGAGATTTGTGGAAGACAAAGTAACACTGCTAACAATAAATATGTTTTTTTTTTCACATGATAAACTGTATTATAATTATCGAGCAAAAGACACTATCTTTTTGCTCGATTATTATAATATGATATAGTACAATATAAAAGTATAGGTTTAGATTAAAACATGTAATCTAAAAAACAGCCCAACAATTGAAACAAAAAAAAGCACATATTAACATTATCAGAAGTTTACACAAAAACTGACCCTTAGGACTGAATTAATTGAAATAATACCAGCAATAAAAAAAAAATAAATACAGAAACTAAACATATCACAAATGGGGAAAACAGTTAAAATAATTTAAAAGAAAAATTATAGAGTATTCTTGCAAATAAACTATTTATATAAACCATATAATATGATCAAGTTGCAAATAGAGTCTCTATACTTAGGGACATACAATAAAAAGACAAGAATAAACATTTCTTCTTATACTGTTAAAATTAAAATATCTCGGAATATAACGCTGATGCAGCTGTAATTAAATTCGTCCTTAGTAAAAAACTGGTCAGATTTAAAAAAGCTCCTTAAATTAAATAGTTGCAGTTATGTTTTAAATAAGTTTTTGTTTGTAAACAAAAGCAAAACATCTATACTACATAAGAGATTAAGGTACTATCAGGCGATGTTGACTTTTAAATAAAAAGTTAAACTAAAAATACTCACTAATTTTTGCTCCCAAAAAAATACACCCAGTGCATGTCTTTCTTTCCTGTTTTGCTCGGTGTATTTGGACCCGGCTGGACAACCTGAAAAACAAACATGAGTTAGGTTAAGTTTATATTTCAAAGGACGCGCGCATTAGACCAAGCTAACGGTTGGATTAAATAAGTGGCGGCAGAATACTTACCCGAGCAGGCCAAGGCGCAAAAGTTTTCATTTTTGCCCTAGAATACAGAAAAAAATTTAAAATAGATTTATACTGTATTAGAAATTTATCAAAAAATTTTATGATGTCTTACCATACTAAATCACCAACTTTTATTTCGGAACTCATTGTAACAACCTAACGCCAAGACAGCTCTTCTCAAACTAAAGCAAAAGCCGAGTGCAAGAGTGGATTTTTCGTATTTCGTGTCGTGGTGTGGTAAACTTTTGACAGCGAGCATGCGCATTTCAGTTTAGTTACCAGATGCTTGCGTTTAAATGTAAATAACGCTTTCCTTGTTTTTACTACAGGAATAACGAAGAAGAAAAAGCATGATCCGTACACTTCGTGCCAATCTACTTAACACAGTATAGTACTTTCTCTCTTTATTCTATATTGTTAGAGTAAAATATCCTATTTTTCAATTATACATGAAACACCAAATTATTAGTACAATGTGGTGAGGTTGCTAGCATTATAGAACATGTTCATTAATTCCTAAAAGATAGACAATACAATATACTTAGTGTTTAATTAGTTGAGTATTATCAAAATGAATATTTAAAAATTACTATTATAATTATATCAAATTATATTATCATTTTCTCTTCTGTCAAGACTCCTACTTGAGCAATATTATCTATAACATCTTTTCCGTTTTGGACAAAATAAAATGTTTGAATTAATTTTCTTTATTAATATTTATAAATATTTAACATATCGAAATAAATACAATGGACTTACAAACTTATTGAAGATTATTGTGTTTATAAAACATGGATGATATAATAATTAAAACAACAAATCAAATCATAGCTTAAACAAATAAAACAGTACCCAGTAAAGATCTGAGTCGTTAGGAGCATCCTTCTTTTTTTTTGTTTTTTTTTTTTTGCTATATTCTTCTATATCGAGAATATCAGAAAGTTTCTGTACATAATTTTATTTTTACTTGCATATATTTAAAATTATAATTGTTGTAACCGTAATTATCATTATAATTACGGCTGTTAAATAATTTGAACTGAACACTAATGTTTTAATAGGGACGGTTGTAGCTCAATGACAAAATGTACTGGCTAAAAAACTGGAGGGTCCGCATTTGATTATTGGTACTGACACCAAAATTTTTTAATGTCTTATTTAACTGAGCCGCCACCGTGCTGCGGAAGGCACGTTGAACCGTCATCCCGGCTACGTAAGTGGTCTTTAAGTCATATTAGGGGCGGTTGAGCCACAAGAAAACCCTAACACTAAACCTTAGCCAGGTTTCACGAACTTTAATAGAGACGAAATAATTTTTGACAAAATAAAAAGTTACGAGTGACTCCAAATTAAGTGTGATGGATCTTAATTAAGTTTTGAAAGGATTACTCAACGTTAGTCGGACCGCAAGTCACCGCAGGAGGGAAAAAAAGCAAAACTATAAATAACCACCGCTTCTAACTGACTGCGAAATAACTCTTATGTTCATTTTATGTTTTCTGAAAATAGCTATTGTTAAGGTCAACAATGTAACTGTTGTCTAAGTCCAAAAGTAATAACAATTTTTTGAATGATGATATTAAAATTAATGCTTAAAAATACAGTTCACTAATAAAATGTGACTAACTAACTTTTCTGCTTTTTCGCAAATTACAAATTATACACATATTGAACAAATTATAATATAGATATTGAACAATGTAAGTAAAGTAAAGTAATCATAATCATTTTATTTGTTCCTTTCTTCTTCTTTCCTTTATCAACAAATATTCGTGGTGGGTGACTACATGAGGAAGCCATGAAACGTAAACTATCATCTTTCGCTATAAGAGATAAAATAAATGCGCAGCGCTGATTAAGTAATTGTTACGATTTTAAATGTTATGGCGTTAAAAATCTACCTGACATCCTTTGGGTCTCTTCGCTAAAAATGAACAACAATCGAACTTTCTGGGGACGAGCCGATAAAAAACATACCAGTTTTGAGGCCAGTCGCTGCTCTGTATAGTCGAGAATGCCATCGAACCTTCGGCGATGTTCCATTTTAACACCTGATTTCATATAAATAACGGAACGCAAATAAATTATTTGTAATTATTAAGTGTAAAATAAATTAGTATAAAATAAAGACTTTTGATAAATTATCGTGAGTGTTAATAAATTAGAATAAAGACAATAAATTATAATAAAAACAATAAATTAGGACTAATAAAAGCATTATAGTGGTGTGCAGAAGTGAGATACTTTAAATAAATTGGTGAACATGACTACGATTTACGAGCTCACAGTTACGAATTTAAGAAGGCATCTTGAGGACAGAGAATTAGCTTCTACCGGAAAAAAGGCTGAGTTAGTCCAACGACTAAAGAAGGCTTTGGAGGAAGAGGGTTTAGATCCGGAAACTTATATATTTGAAGATGTTGTCATCTCGTCGATTTCGAAATTAGAAAACAAAGTTTCTGACGATATTTCGAAAGTTTCTTCCGATGTAGCCAAAGTCTCTGGTGATGTAGCCAAAGTCTCTGGTGATGTAGCCAAAGTTTCCTGTGATATCGCATCATTAGAAAACAAAGTTTCCGGCGACATCGCTTCTTTAGAACGCAAACTTTCTAACGAGATTTCTTCTCTAGAAAGCAAAGTTTCTGCTAACATCTCTAAAGTCACTTCTGAGATGTCTGCCCTCGATGATAGAGTGTCTTCGTTAAAGGACCAAGTTGCTGCGATATGTTAGCCTTCGAAGAGAAGATAAAAGAGATGGGGAAGATGGAGGAAACAGGGACAGCAGAGAGAGAAAACAATCCAATTATAGCAGAGACAAAAGAAGACGAGACGAAATGTAAGTTGGAAACACGGCCGAAATTTGAAGGAAGTGGAGGTTCTGTTCATGTCAAAGTCCCAACTTTTGACGGAAAATCATCATGGAACAACTACATGAAACAGTTCGAATCAGCTGCAAGAGCGAATGGATGGTCTGAAAAAGAAAAGGCTGTAAACCTGACTATCGCTCTTCGAGGAGATGCTTTAGATGTGCTTCAGACCATAGCCGTAGAGGAGACGGATGATTTTGAACAACTTAAGAAGAGGTTAAATATGCGGTATGGCCACGAACACTTGGAGCATGTATATCAGTCACAGCTTAAAAATCGAAGACAAAAGAAAGATGAGGCTCTTCAAGAATATGAGGTAGATATTGCCAGATTAGTGCGATATGCTTATCCAACAGCTCCCGAAGACATGATGGAAAAGTTGGCCGTTCAAACGTTTATTGATGGTCTTCGTGATCATGAAATGCAGAGAACATTACGATTAGCTCGTCACAAGACGCTGGTTGATATCTTATCCGCCGCCCTCGAATACGAGTCAGCTACGCAGGCCTCTGGCGGGTACAATAAAGTTAGGACTGTAAAAGAGGAAGGAGATGAAGATAAACTTGACCAGCTCGTTAATATGATAAAAAGCATGACATACACGAAACCGAAGACCATAAGATGCTGGAATTGTGGCGAAATAGGACACGTACGAAGTTCTTGTAAGCATCCTAGGTACGACGCAAATCAAGAAACTCAGAAAGCTTCGACCCAGAACTTTTCCAAAGACCCTCTCATACTAATAGCTTCTTTGAAATGTCGTGAAGATAGTGTATATGTAGATGGAGAAATAAATGGTAAAAAGCATACGTTGTTGGTGGATACGGGAGCGACCAGAAGCATTATTCGTCCGACAGTTATAAACAGCCATAAGAAACTGTTACCAACGAGGTTGCGAATGCGGACAGCTACAGGTGAAAATGCTAACATTCATGGAGAAATCCAGGTACAATTAGGAATTGGAGCAGAAAAGTTCGTCCATACTGTTATAGTTGCTGACATCGAAGAGGATGTTATATTAGGAATGGACGTAATGAATACGCATGTATTCCAATTGGATTTTAAAAATAAGGTAATCCAAGTTGGTAACGAGGAGGTATTTCTTCATCCACATGATGACAACACTATGTAAGCAGCCGTTAAAGAAGATACAGTCGTGCCTGCGAGAAGTGAAACGATTATAGTAGCGCGGCTACAGGGCATTGTGGACGAATGAACACCTGTTATGATGGAGCCTTGAAACCATGACGACGAGGTTGGCCGAGGAATTATAATTGGAAAGGAATTGGTGACTTCGGATAAAGAAATACCTGTGAGACATCAATGTCAATGACTATCCAGTCACCATCAAGAAAGAGACAAAAGTAGGAACTTGTGTACCTGTGACATCCATAATCCGTCAGACGACAACATCTGATAATTCCAACGACAAATTCGACCAAATGGTTGCAGTTGCTGGTCAGTCTATTGAGAAAAGGAAATTAAGGGAATTTCTTCGGCAGTATCGTGATATTTTCGTACCGAAAGGAGGAAAGACGGGAAGAACTACCGTTGTTAAGCATAAAATTGATACTGGTAATGCTAAGCCAATTCGTCAAACAGCTCGACGATTACCACATGCGAAAAGAGAGGAAGCTGAAACGATTGTTCAGGAGATGAAAAAAGATGAAGTAATAGAACCTTCTACAAGCCCATGGGTCTCTCCGGTGGTCCTGGTTAAAAAGAAAGACGGAACAACGAGGTTCTGTGTGGATTACCGTTTGCTGAACAACGTTACCAAGAAAGATAGTTATCCTCTGCCTCGGATCGATGACACATTGGACACATTGGCTGGAAGTAAATTATAGCATTATCTACATAGGTATAGTATGTATAGTCACAGAATAATAAACAATCAGAATGCCCACTCTGCTTGAAAAAATAAGTACGCGCATCTCGTTCGTGCAGACGGAATCAGCCATGTTTTAAACGGAACCAATGCTGTTCAGTGACATTTTATCTGGTGTGCATATAAAAATAATATGGTTTAATTTATTTACGGCAACTATAGACATAATATGCACTATTTTATTTGTACTTTTAGTTGAAGAATAGGTTAAATTATTTCAAATGTACTAAATTATTATTCTCTAAAAAGTTAAATTACAGTTCTGTCGTAGCTTGTCACAAATTCCACAATTCGAGTCTATGCTTTCGTCTAAGACATGGCGTTTACATGCTGACAAACTTCAAAGGCGGCATCTGAGAGTGGGCATTCTTATTGTTATTTATTCTGTGGTATAGTAGTTTGTTTTCTCTATTCCGGTTATTTTAT